GAGTCCCAGATGTATTTAACTCAATTAATCTGAGGTTGGGCGCCCTCTAATAGTGAGATCGAGGCAAAGTTTGGATGTATGCGAAGAAAAGCAAAGACAGAGAGGTGATTGGAGCAGCCAATGCCCAGCACTGAGAAATCAGAAAAAGTAGAGAAACCGTTCATGTTTGACCAAATGTGATCAACTGTGCTAGATTCATTGCTGTTTATTTCTTCGGTTTATTTCTTCGGTTAAAATACGGCTCTGCTTGTTAACAGCATGGTCTCTAAAGCTGATGTGCCATGAGAATGGTGTGTCGTTGGTAAGATCACTCATGAGCTGGTTCTCTTCACCTACTCTAGCATTAAACTCGCCTCTAACTAATAGCGTAGCATTCAGATTTTCAGAAAATAGCCCTAAGAAAGCGCATAAATCCTTAAGCTTTCTTTGAAAGCATTTGACAGTTGATTTTAAATACACATTAACAATAATGAATCTTAGATCTTGAATAAATAGGTCGATGGCCAGGAAGGATTCTTCTATACGCATAACTTTAAAGCTCCTAACGATGTTCTTGTTGATTAATGTTGCGAGGCCGCCAGAAGCTCTGCCAGCAAGTGTCGATTTCGTGACTGAGCTGTTGATAATGTCGAAGCCACTGAATGCATTGGGTAGGTTTTTCATACGTTCCTTTCACCAAGTATCTAAGGTACTGAGGACTGCTGCTCTCGAGAAATTAGTATTGAATTCTTCTGCAGTAATATTGTAAAGGTTAGAAAAGCCGTGTACATTCCAAAAAGTAAATGAGACGTCAGGAAGACTGGATCTTAATAATTGCCTGGAATGGTTAATCATCTTGTCAGTAGAAGAGAGGAGGCAAAGAGACCATGCGTAGGTGTTCTGACACCGTGAAGCAGACCGTGGAGGGGAGCATACATGTCGCGATTGAAGGTGGCCATCAGAGAGCTGGGTGTTGAAACACTAAGTACTCATGAACGAGTTCCTCGTTGCGAAAGGAGTAAGAGCTGACGTATCCAGGACTAGAGCCTCCAGGCTTCTTCAACGATTTGGTTAGGCCTGTCCCCTCTCGCTACTCTTTGATTTCTCCATTGACTTAAATTTTCCTGTATCCTAGTTTAGCGGTGTTATCCTTTTGTCTTTCTTCTTCCACAATCTTCGCCAGCTGGCTCTGCACCATTCTTTTAGCCTTCGTTCGATCGTTTAGAATGAAGACGTCAAACCCTCTCATCTTGTTTCTTATAATTTGCTGTTTATTCTCAAATGAAGTTAGTTTAACAACAATGACGCTGCCTCTTTTAGTCTTTATAGAAACGGCTTGCCTAACTTCTAGTGCAATTTCCAAGTTTTGAGTGAAGAAGGACCCAGCTTCTTGATTAAGAGCGTTGGAGTTAAGTGATAATCCTCTAATAATAATTTTATTCTTCTTGTCAAGTCTCTCATGTCTCTCTTCACTACGTTCAACAGCCTCTATTCGTTCAGACAGCTTATTTAAATCGCTCGATCATTTAGTCTCACGCGTGTCCAATTCTTCTGGGACATATTTCTTTATGTACATTTTGACATCTGAAACCTCTTTTTCAGTGGACGTGTTATGACCAGACTTGTTTAAAGTATGGTCTTAACCGTTTTGTTTTAATGTTCTTCGTGGATCTCTGAGGATTCAGTTCATGAGCTTTATTTGTTCTTTTTCAAGTAAAAATAATTATTCAAATAATATGGATGATTTTAATCAATGTTTAATTTTAAATTCTTTTATTAAAACAATTCAAAACAGGTATTCTCTTAGATACAGTCCATTCAGATCACTTCACAGATTTTGATATGAATTATATTACTGATGAAAAACTTACATCTATCACTGACTGTTGTTACTGCTGCTTCGGAGTTCCCTAATGCTTCGTGCACTAATTCCCAGTGATTACTTAAACTACACCAAGGAGTTCGTAGCCTGTAAGATGTTGCGGTATCTGCTTTCTCTGCCATCGCCGGAACCACTTTTGATGGGCCTCTTTCGTTGTACCTCGCTCCTTAGTGTAGTCTGATATGATTGATACTCTCGTACTGCACCAGAGTTGCCTCAGCCAAAACGTTATGCCTTACGTGTATAAGGTACTCGTGAGTCGTGGGAGTCAAGAGTAGACTAAAACCTTAGAGAAAAGGTGACAGACGTAAAAAGAGCGATTTTTCCTGTTGATGGTGAGTTTTTATAGCATCAAAGCGAGTAAAAGAGGCCTTTGGTTGAATTAGGTCAACCAATGAGTGATGTTCTTGCAGACTGCGTTGACAGCAAAACAGTAGGCTTGCACGATGATGTTACATGCTACGATTTTACATATTAGGAAATAACAATACAACAGTACCAATCGCTTTTTTCTAAGAAGTGCGATTGAGTTTTTTGGATCAGTGATGATGAAATCAGTGATGATGCATCAGGAATAAAAGAACGCCAAATACAAGTGCAAGTATGACAGTAAGCTTACAAATTTCGAAATAAATCCTTTTAGGGATTTTACAATCAATTTTTAATAAAATGAAATAATGTGTTAATTACAAATTTTAAAATCGGTATACGTTATTAGAAGTGGTCAATCAATGTGCAAGTAAATTATTGATTCATACATATAACGTACAATTTCAATACATACGTGCATTCTTATAAAGAGGCTGGCTGTATTATATGTCAGCATATTATTAAACATTCACCTTAAAGCTATTACACACAAGCATATAAGTGACGTATAAGCTCCTCTTGTCATATGAGCTTGCTGTATATTCACAATACGTCTTGTTTGAATTTGACGGACGGATAGCTTTTTTTTAGTTATAATATGATTCGTCTGTATTAACTCGGGATGTAACAGACGTGACTGGAATCGTCAAGGAATCAAACTTGTTTAGGATTTCCTGAAGTAGGGAGTTGTCAACCACGAAAGAGTCAGTGAAAGCTTCCATGAGTCAAATACTCCTTCAGCCTGATTGTGACGCTAGCAAGCTTGTTTACGCCGAGATTAGAGCGCGTGTTAATATTAGAAGGCTTACTAGGTACCGTAGCTGCTCGTGTGTATATATGGTCAGCCAAACCAGGTGTTCAGTAGAAATTATGGCTAAGTATCGATCAAGCAGAAAAAAGGAAAATAAAAGGTAGTACTACTGTGCGACCGCCGGTAACATAAAGCACAGCAAGACCACTCTTCTCGTAGATGAGCACCAGGTCTTCGCCGTCAAGCCTAGTGGAAAAAATTAACACCAGGCTCTTAATCGTAGCCTCCAAATCGTGCTGACTATGTGAATGGAGCAGGAGTGCCACCCGACCTCTTGAGCACTAGAATAGCACCAGGTGCAAGGCTACGTCGCCAGATCTTGACTAAATACTTTTAAATGTGGCTGCAATCAGCAGTGCAAGCGAACTATCGGGATGGCGGCCACTCGGGTCAGTCAGCACCAGGGTATAGCATAGTGGATGGCTTAGCAAACTGCAGCACGACAGAAGTCCTAGAATGTACAGCACCAAGCGCAAATACCCCGATGGCAGTTTACGGTTAGGCCGCGGCTGTATGGAGAAATCGTAGATACCTGGCCCCAGGAGATTTGATACAACTCACTGACAGGGACGAACCAGCCCAGCTCCTGGCAGAAGCTCACTCAGGAGCAAAACTCTAGTCGAAGGCACTAAAACCACAAATTAGCCTTGACGAAAATTACTGCGACCACGCACCAAACATAAGAAACTTAAGTATATTTGATGGTTTGTGCAATGGAGTTAGACTTTTTATAACTAAATTATTAAAATATAGCATTAAAGCAGAAACAATAACTGGATAAAAATCAGGTAATAAAGTTTTCATACCAAGAATCACATTGAATACGGCTTATATCTCATCTTCACCGTTTATATTATAGAGAAAACAATTTCATTTGGTTCTAGCTTTTTCTATGACAATTCATAAATCACAGTTTTGATAAATTAAGATTTTATTATTAAAAACCCTCATTTTGTCACGGTCAACTTTATGAATTGCTTGCAAGATGAAAGAATCCTAATAATATGTGTGCACAAAATGATTTTGAAAATGAATCAATTACTAAAAATATAGTATATAGGGAAATTTTTCATATTTAAATATTAAAAACTTTTTTTACTTGTAAACAGTCACAGAAAACTCTTATACCTATGAAATTGCTTTCTACACACGATAAAGTAGAACATTCCTTTTTTTTTATCTCACTCTCTTCAGAGTATTCTGTACACTAAGCATATTCATAACAAATCTTGCTTTCGTATAAAATATGTCGTTATTTACAAAAATAGTAAAAAAAATCACTAATACCAATGTAAATTTCTTGAATTAACACAAACGTTTCATGTTAACAAAGTGATCGCTTGATTGATAATTTTACTGTGTATTGCTAAGTATTTTTATTATGTAGTCACAAGTTATGATTGATGGTACTTTGTGTAAATTAGAATTAAACCCCCCCTCTCCAAAGTTATAATGACTTACTTTTTTATCAACATTTTCGAAAAAAATTTCAAATAATATATCTTTTAATTAATTACTGTTGAATATTGAAATATTATAAGTTTTTATTATGCTACAATCACAATCTTTTAAAATGAAGCGTAATAGCAAACGAAGCAACATTAGTCATAATATAAGTATAAATATAAATATAAGCACATTTAAAAATGTTGTCAAAGAATGCCTCAATCAACAAAAATCGTAGTAAGATTTTTGAAGTGACTTTAATATAAAATTTTTGTACATCAACTATTAGGTAAATATAACTTGAAACCTAATGTTTTAGAATTAACAAAATGTTTTGTCACACGTTAACTTATTGCCTGCCCCCCCCCTCCTCTCCCAGCATAAACATCCGTATGATTTAACCACACCCCCTTTCCCCTAAATCTAATAAAAATGAAATAAATGTTTCAAAATATTTTATGAAAAAATTGAATTTCCACAAGTTTTAGATCTACCTTGAATATCCTTATATCAATGATATTTTATTATGCTGATAAATATGTTGTGAAAAAATTCCGTGGCTCTAAGTGTTCAACCTACAATAACGTAAATATTGTCTTAGGTGGTATCACAAGACTAACTGAATCTGGTTTATCTATGGTAACATGGAAATTTTTGGGAGAAAAAATACCGAGTAACGAACAATCATGGCTTATCGAATTTGATAAATACAAACAATTTCCTGAGTTTCAGATGTAAGTACCTTTTTCTCTTCTTTATATTTTCTTCTGTTATTCACCTCCTTCACTTTGTTACATTTTAGTTTAAACAGAGATATAACAATTGAGGAGTTTAAACGAATTTGGTCAATGGAGTACGTACACAGGATGTGGGGTCGCTTATTTGGCATGATATTTATCGTACCTGCTAGTATTTTCTGGTTAAATAATATGTTAGAACCACTGATTAGGAGGAGGATAATTGTATTAGGGTCTTTAATTCTCTGCCAGGGGCTTATGGGATGGTATATGGTCAAGTCAGGCTTAGTAAATAAATTTGATGGTCCTTCAGATGTACCTCGTGTATCACAATACAGATTAGCAGCTCATCTTAGCTTGGCGTTCCTCATTTACAGTGGATTTTTTTATACTGCTTTAGATTACCTGAGACCTGTGCACGGCAGTATTCCTAGTTACTCATTGTTGGTAAGCTCTTCTCATCTGAAGCAGCTTAAAAAATTGAAATTTGCCTGTAGCTTGATAGCAGGTTTGACGTTTCTTACAGCAGTATCTGGTGCTTTTGTAGCTGGTTTAGATGCTGGACTTATATACAACACTTTTCCAAAAATGTGCGATAAATGGATACCAGATGATATCTTTTACATGACACCAGCTTTAAAAAATTTCACAGAAAATCCTGCAACTGCACAATTCGACCACAGATTACTTGTAAGTTATAAACATTGGTATAGTTATTGTATTTTTTAATAGATAAACTTAAGATTCATTTACTTGCAAGTGAGTTTCAATAGATTACAGAGTGCATTGTGTGAATAAATTATTTCTAAAAATTAATCTTTGTTAAATTAGGTCTCCTTTTCATCTTAATAATCTATAAATAATATCTTAGCTTTAAATGGTTGCTCTCCCAATTTCCATAAGGAATTGTGATAAACTTGCTAATTATCGTGACAATAATAGTAAGCATTAGCTACATCAAAGAATATATTTTACAACACTTAGTTATTTATAGTTAACTTAACTGTATGATTTTTTTTACTGTCGGTATTGCAATGCATATCATTCTTCTATTCTTGTGACAGTCAGTCTCGAACGTTTTTTAGTACATCAATAAGCACTGAGTGAGACATCTGCATGAACTGTAGCAAATGATAATACTAGAGCTTGTATGTGTGTACGTGTATATACATACGTCCAAACAAGTTCTAAAAATACATGGGAAAAAATAAACGTGATACACATTTGAAGAAAAAATTTACTGTATCCTATATAAAAAAGAAAAACTATGTTAAATAGAGCTTTTTATTTGTTATGTGATTAGTACACTTTGAAATTACGTAAAGATAATTTAAATAACATTCTGGAGTTTCTTAAATTAGGGTAGTAAATTATTACTACAAGTATTTTTTGTTTTTGAAAATGTAATTAAAATTGTAATTTTATTTAAATATCCTTAGAATGGATAAAGAGGACGAAATAAAATTTAAGTGATGGCAATATCGTCACAATGTGTAGGTTGAGTACTTTACATCGCATTTTTTTTTTAATTCAAAACTTACTTACAAGTATAAATCATTAAAAGTAAAAACATTTTAATGTTATCACGAAGCGTTTGGGATCCGTGCGGTATCAAATCGAAAATTCAATGAAAGCTTGTAAGCAAAGAGGCTTAAAAACAACCGTTATTGATTTTCCAAAAATGTAGCTGTATTATAACACACAGACATCTCATATAAGTTGAGACAAAATAACTTTACTTCTTTCTACTATGGTTATATTATCATGACATAAAAATTAGAAAACTTTAAAAATATTTATTCATGTAGAGAAAATATATACATATATTCCCAATGCACTTAAAACTGACTACTTGACAACGCAACCATAAAAATTTATGAATAGTGCTACATCTCGAAGGCTAAGCAGTGCCAGATTTATTAAAGAGGGGATGAAAACCGAGATTTACAAATATTGACGAAATAATACAAACACATTTTTCCTTGTTTTGAATATATTCTTGTAAAAATGTTGTATAAGGATCAATGTCTCGTCTTATCTGCTGCGCATCATCGTCCAATCCTCCACCATCTTCAACAATAGTTCCGATTACTGTGGGGGTGACTGTCATAGCATGCCCAGAGCCACCAGTACAATTCTTCATCATTGTCCGGCCTTAGTAGTCAACTCCATACTCCCTGGAGCGTCTCAAGCCTTCCTTTAATAATAAAATACACAATTTCCTTACTTAAAAAACTTGTATGTTTACTTTAAGTTTTAGAATTGTTTTATTTCAATTTAAATTAGACCTATTACAACATATTTCTTAAAATAATCTATCTGATTGTTATTCTTTTAAGACGATAAATAATTCTACATTTTTATTCTCTCTTTTTGTAATAATTTCTAAAATGCGGAGTTTGAAAAAAAATTATTTTCTAATTTTTATATTCCAAATTATTACCGTACATGTAAAAATTATATTTTTTCTAATATAATTGTACTTCTGTTACGTTTTATAATGTTAGAAAAAAATTTTCATAAATTATCACCGAAAACAATTTGTATTGTGAGATACATTGTAGATTCCAACACCTTTATCGATTTTTTTTCCTTCCTTTAGAATTTTCTGATACTGACCGAAAAGAAGGACGTTCTGCTTGCAACCTTTTTCTTTTTTTTTTCCTTTCTCACCTCCTATCCCAGCCATAATAAAAGTACTCGCCAGTCTTTAGAGTATCCGTAAAGATAACATTATATAAAACGCCAAACATTTTTTAACGCATGTCTGCTCAAAGAAGAACCTTAAGCTCTGATAAAAGATACAAAGGTACAACAACATCAATATAAACGGGATCCATATCAAACAGATAGTCTTCCAGTTTTACTGTGCAAAAGAAAAAGCACTGACAAAAGGTGCAGAGGTACAACATTTAATTCAATAAAAATGGGATGCATTTTGGACAAGTGGTAAACATTCTTCAATTTTTCCGTGTAAATAAAGGGTATCGTAAACAAGAATCATTAATGAAAAGTGCAAAAGATCAAAAAACGCTAATAATAATAAAATGTGTCCTAGAAATTTGAGAAATATACTACACACCCTAGCAACCAACTATTGGTACTTCCTCTCTCCCATACTTGATCAGGTGGATCCAAAATACTGAATCCATCAACCAACACTGAAAGAAAGAGACCCTTTCCTTAACCTTTTCCTCTTCTTCCTTATACTAGCAGCTAGTTGTTATTATTATTATTACTATTATTATTATCATAAACATCATTATTATTGTCATTATCACCATCACCACCATCACTATTTTCTTCATCATTATTATTGTCATAATCACCATCA